GCCTCGCTTTCAGCCAGGTTTGCGCTCGCACTGCAATAGTAACCATGGCGACAGACATTGACAACCGGGTTATTGCCATTACGCCTAGCGGTATGCTCACGCTGTTTTTGTTTTGTTCAAACATTGTGGACCATGGCAAGCAGACTTTGAGACAAAATGAGGACTAAAACGGAGATAAACACGTCCGCAACTAACTTCGATTTGACAGAGACGCGAGTGTTGCAAGTTTATTAGACAGGTGAACAGATGTACTCAAATGCCGTTTAGTGTGATATTGTACCTGTTAGAGCAAGTGAAACAGCGCTGCGTTCCCTCAAGTTTAATTTGTCTAATAAACTGACGAATGTGAGTATTAATTCAGCACTTGTGTCTAGTTCAATAGAATACTGTCCTTAGAAATGCGCTAGTATACATCTAGAAATTGCGCCCTGCTTCATACCACAGTCATGTTAAAATCATCAATATATTCATATTAATCCATAAAAGATCCATCAGCTTGAGGACAAGATCCATACTTACGCTTAATGCGGAATACGTCATCATTATACACCTTTGTTATTGTAAGAGGTTAGCGACCCCTGGGGGCGAAAATTCCTGCATATTGTACCTTTAATAGCAGATTTCCTCATATTTGCCTAATCTACACTAATTGCCTTGATTTATTTAATTGAAAACACACGTTGTGTTTGCACTATTCATGCGTTGTGTAATGCACTATTCAAACGTCATAGTTTTTGAAAAGGTTTTACTGGGGGACAGATACAAATAGCCACACCGGTCACTGCACCAAACAAATGAACTGTTATGTGTGGACACACTCTTTACTGATGATTTTTGTGTGAATCTTTCTCTTGTTGCTGAGAGAGCATCTCTCTGCCTGTCCTGTTGGTAATGGAGGGGATGATAAAGTTGCTTCGCCCACCTTATTGGCAGGGGTTTGCAGCTTTTCGAAGGCCTTGTAAATCTTGTTAGGAGGAAAGCGTGGCAGGTGTGGAGGATTCGGTTTCCTCTTTACGTTTGCTGCTGAGATGAATCAGCTTGGGCAAAAAAGACTCCGATCTGACACTAATCAGCAGCCAAAGACAAACAGTTGTGAGCATAGCGGGTGATGGTGAAGTATTCGTTTGAGATTGGTTAGGATTGTCTGCTGATCTAGCAAAGGGATTGTCTAGAGAACATGTGGCCTCGGAACGGGATAGATACTCTCAGGCATTTACTTTTGAACTGTATGTTACACAAAGCTGTCTTTCAATATCAAACAAAGGTCATCAGTTCAGCAAAGCTTAATATGATATACTCTAGCCAACAACATGAACCAAGAGTGACGCCCGTTTCACACATATGCTTTTCACACTTTCACATATGCTCCGTTTGCAGTGCGTAACTGATCCGCGGCTGTACCACAAACATATTAGCCCTACTCACTATTTTTATTTTAAATACAGAACTTATGCAGCAACTTTTATTTAAAAAAAAAAGTTGTCAGCATTGCAATTCTCTTTGTTCACATATACAAACTTGCATGGACGTATGCACGTTTAAACACAATATAAACAATGTGTGCCTATTCAACGCATTACTTCTATTAAGTTGCTCAAGCAAGTAGTCAAATATTTAACCATGTACTTATATTAAAATCCCAAACATTTTAAAATTGACAAAAATAGCCAACTCTAATGCCTTTTCTTTTGCATTTAAATTTTAATACAATAAATCTTGCATGTCCAACGCATTCTCATCCTTTAACGTCATATAGAGCGCTATATGACAAAACGGCGCTATACTACGCTAAAGGCGTGTTATATTAACGATAACGGGTGCCATGTGCGTAGTATAGCGCATGTCACAAAGAACTTGTTTTATCACCTCCACAAATGAGGCGAGTGTCATTCATTATGTCCTTGTTGAGGTAAATCATTTTCCTTGCTTATCTCTGGTCTTAAAAAATAACTGTCAAAAAAGTAATATTTAATTAAATACATTTATGGTGAGACTACCTAATTTTATTGAATTAAATGCATGTAAGGTGAAATTACTAAATTTTGAGGTCAATATGTGTTCATTTTGGCCACGAACCATGCGCTATCACTTTTATTCAGCGTTTGCAGTACAGCAAAAATAGACTCGGCTGTATACGCACCGCAACTGGAACGGATCGATGGACTGCATCCACAGTGTGAAAGCTCTAACCTGTTAATATGGGTACAGAAAAAAATATGCACCGCATACGCACTGCAAATTGAGTATGTGTGAAATGGGCGTTACTTTAACAAAATAAAAAATGAAGGTTCACAGGAACAGTCCTTTACAGGCCAATCGTACCACACATCTAATCCATGAGAGGATGTAGAGCCGTGGTAATATTTACTCACTAACACACTATTGACCACAGGCCTGGGGCTCTGCAGCTTCTTTTTTTTTTTTGAGGGACCTTTCCTTTTAGAGATATTTACAGGGCTTTCACTGAGCTTTTTTCCTTCCAATCGGAATCTCTGTGAGTCGTCCAGACATTGACCAGTGGAGATAATGAGGGAGTCTGAAGGATTGATGAGAAAGCGTTTAAAGAAAGTACGAGAACTTTGGCTGCATGTGAATCTTTAATTTGTATAATTATGCTGCCTCAAGACACTTTTACGTCAAATTCTAAAGCATTATCACATCCATTATGATGAGCTCAGTGAAAAAATGTCCAAGATGGTGGACAAGGTATGAGAAATAAACATATACTACTGTTCAAAAGTTGGGGGTCAGTATGATTTGTACATTTTATTTTGATGGTCCCTTTTGAACATTCTGTTGACTATAAGTAACTTTGCAACAACACGTCAACTAGCCGTCATTAGAGTATTAGTAGACTGTCTGCTTAATATCGGATTACACTTTATTACTTAATGGTTTAATTTAATGCTTGATAAATTCAGCTTTGCCATCTAGGAATAAATTTCATTTTATTATATATTGAAAGATAATGTTTTTTGAATGAGAACATTTCTTCGCGAGACTTCTTCTTTTGTTTAAATGTGTTTAAATTGATTTCATTCAGTATTTAAAATATAATTAAAATAATCCAGTGCAATGACAAGTTACTTTAACAAAGTTTCCGACCCCTTTCGCCTTCACGCACGCCATTAAGACAGAAAACAATGACTGGCCGGGAAGCAATATGTAGTCTGACATGTTTCTTGTCCACAACAAGACAAAAATTGAGGAGTCAAAATTGCATAATCTGACACAGCGACTTTCGTAACAGATTAAAATACTATGTAGTCTGAACCCGGCATTAGTCTTCTCATTTTAGTAATTCAAATCAAAGTTTGACTAACACCAACCGAACGTGAACAGCATTGGTCATGTTGGGTGTAGGGTATAGATACAATGACATTAACTTCATAATATTGGTAGGACTTCTTTTTATTATGCATGATAAATGTGTGTGGTGTGTGTGAGTCGATGTGTGTGCGTGTATTCCCGTTGATTTGACTCATGCTTTATTCAGAGGGTGCACTGCGGGGGTGGGGGGGGGGTTCTCCTCCTCTTCAGTAAAGCCAGCCCATCAGCAGCGTTAACCAGTCGACTGAGCACAGCGGGGCAATGGGACGGCCTCTGTCACTCCACTGACAAAGAAACCAACGCTCTGCCCTTAAAACACTTCACACTATTTTCACCTCATCCTGGTCAGTATAATTGATGGTTATCTGCTTGCTGTAACCTCTGTGGTAAGCCTAAGTTAGCATATTCAAATAATAATCAACAGTAAAACCACCAAATCAGATAAATCACAGAATGTAAGACACTACGAAAAAAATAATATTTCAACAAGAATTTTTCAAATAAACCTATTGTCTCTACTAATGAAAGATGTATACCAAAATCCAACTGCACGCAATCAACTGCATGCAAAATTCATGAACTCAAAGTTACTCAGAGACCTTGAAGAACCATAAACCTATAAATCAATTAATTGGTGCCCTTAGCAAAGTATCCTCTCATTATACAGGTCCTCTTTTACTGTGGCCAGAGGAAATAATATCACGGCTCAGTGATTCCTGTCTGTGTCCAAGAAGTCCAGCAGCTCTATGATAGAATTTAACAATTTAACTTGTTTACTTGGGAGAATGCAAGATCTCCTCCCTCATTATTTAAAGATGACATTAACACACCTAATTTCAGGGCAGCGTTTCCTCAATGATAGAGTTTAGATATAGCAACTGAGGAAATCTTTGCATCTAAATATAGTTTTACACAATGCTCACTAATTATGTAACTCAATGGCAGTAAAATGCACAGCTGAGGTCTCCTAATTGTGCTGTGAGTGCACAGGGTCTTTCTTTCGTCACGAGATCCAACGTTCTCCATGGGCGGTCTGTCAGAATGAATCATTTATGTATTTAAGGAATGTGAGGTCAGGTCTGAAAGCCACAAAAGAGGTCTGAACTCATGCCAACACGGCACACAGCACAAGGATGTGCCTGAGTCTCTAACACAAATAAACTGATTGATACGACATGGAAAAAATAAGTAGATAATAAATTATATATATATATATATATATATATATATATATAAATACATAAACACACACACACACACACACACACACACACACACACACACACACACACACACACATATATATATATATATATAGGAACACCTGTTCAATTTCTGGGATGATTATGATAACCTATGATTTGCGGGATTGTTGTTTAATTTTTCTGGTTTTCATATACTGTACTTTTTGCTTTAAATCAGTTTATCATCATGTAATTCATCGCATAGCTGGTTAATTTTGTTCAGGATTTTAATGCCCTTATTTTTAAATGCCAATGCAGAAAATGAATGGGGGAAAAAAAGTCTTCTTAAACCAAGACTGAAGAAAAAGTGGGCGATCATGCTTGCATTCTATTCTCCAAGGCTTTTCAAATATCAGAATGGATTCAATTCTTTTCCAATTAGAATGTGATATTTGGTCACGACAAGTGTGAGTATGTGGCTCTTACCCGCTTGCGGAGGTTGCAGGTGAGGAAGAGATTTCGGGAGAAGGAGTTGGCAAAGGCTGTGTAGAACTCCAGCACTTTGAGTAATGCGTCCCTCCTGATGACATGCAGGTCACAGTACGTCAGAGCCCTCACATTAGCACAGGCATGTGCCAGTGAGGATTCCTTCCAGAACACATCACCAAACACATCGCCCTTACCTGGGACAGAACAGAGGAATTATAAACACTCAATAAACACTCAGTTTCGTTCAGTCTTATGTTAATCTTGAGTACCTATAGAGTAGTATTGCATCCTTCATATCTCCAAAAAAGTATTTAGTGTTATTATATTTATAAAAGAATGATAGGCTGTACCGAGACTCTGCAAAAAAACGAGCAGGTGGAGGCGTGGCGTGTGGGCGGAGTTAAATTATCACGAGCGCGCAAAGCTTTTGCGTCTGAGCGTCTGGAAGCTGTGACATCCCAAAACAAAACATGGCTAACAATCAGATCCAGCCATACATTTGTTGTATGCTTTTGTACAGCTTTTGATGCACTGAACGCGAGTTCGAATCCGCCTTTTTGCCGGACTCTCTCTTCTCCCTTTTCCCAACACATATGTAAAGATGTAAAATGTAAAACCTAACATTAAGATCTCTAGTGTTATATTTTGCCAACAAACTAAAATTGAAACCATGATATGGCGTTGCGCCATTATAATAACTGACATTAGAATAGCACCAAGTTTGTGCTGCGTGATTACTTTGCTCACGCGATCATCATGGTCTGGTGTTTTCTCCTAAATAAAAGCTCAAGGGTTTATTTCTTGCAAGTGAAGAAATTAGGACAAAAGTATTTTAATTTTCCTATATTATAGTGTAATGTAGGTTAAAATATACTTTTGAAATACTGATTTTCATTTACATAGTACATTTATAGGCTAAATGGATTTTACAGTACATCGTAGGAATAATTATAAATCATTATTACATTATTATAATAACTGTTTGGCATCCTAAAACACCATTGACAATGTAATGCAGACTGAGACTCTCATAACTAAAAAGATGTTTGAGCCCTCTTTATTGTCCTCGTACAAATTAATACTTTTTCTTTGTTCAACGAGCAGTTCATGGGTTGAAGCTCTTAATTGTGATCTCTCAGAGAGCACGAGATTGATGCATTTAACCTTAAAATGTCCAAAATTTTCTTGCGGGGGAACATGCCCCCGAACCCCCCTAGAGGCACAAAGTCCACCCAACATAGTTTTAGAAATTACTATGGGAAAGAACGACCATTTATGAACTTTACTCCAGCATTGTACAACAAAGTTCCTTTTAAATCAGTAAAACTGTAAATGCTATCGGCTAATAATTCGTGCCGGCGACGAGGGCCGGTGGCCTACGAAATTTCCCGGTAGATTTTTTGGTCCCACTCCGCCCCTGTTCCTACTGTAGGACCTAAGTATCTTAAGTTCTCACAACACACTCATGAGAGAATCTGTACAAAGTACCCAGTGTTCAGTTCTTTTGATGAGGGGCATCATTAGGAGCCCAGCAGGTTTATTCGGGTGGGTTCAAGTAAAGGCCTTGGGGCTAATTAACTCACAGCACTTGCATCTTATTTCATTTCATAATCATTAAAACAAAAGAGCATCTGATCTGATTCCCCATTAGAGAGAAGAGGCCTTAACTTCCTCTCTACGGTGTCTCATAAGGTCTAATGTCATGTCATTTGCTATTACAACGCATCAGTGAAGAGCACGTCACATTCTTTCTGCAGCGGTACATCAGCAAGACTTGAGAGATAAAGAGATCAAGAAATAGTCCAGTCAAAGAGAGAGAGAGAGATGTCTTACAGTAAAATGTTACTGTTTGCACACGTCTACTTGACAACAAAATATCCATATGTTTTTATTATTCATAGTGGAATTGGTTCCAGGCTCAGAGTTAAATACAGCATTAGTAACTGTCCCTTTGTTGCAGAGATATTTTGGGGGGAGATTGTTGTTGCCAGGATTGCTCAAATTCGAATAAAACGTTTACAAGCTTCCTCATCTTTTACAAGAGCAGTCTGTATTTGTGCTTAAAAGTTCAGCCACTGGCTGAACTGAGACTGTGTGAACTATCAGTGAACATCCCTGTGAAACAAAAGACTCAACAACCAATTGACAGAGAATCGGTCCCCACAGTACCATTACAGCAGATAAGAAGACACCGTGGACAGAGCAACAAATGCCACATATACTGTAGCACATGGAGTACGTGGACTGTGGACTTTCATGTTTTTTTCAGAGAATGGATGTTAGAGAGTTCACTGTGCAAGACCCTCAGAAGGCTCGCTCAGAGAATATACCTGCACTTAAAACGTGTAAATTACAATCGCAAATCTCTCCTATTCGCTTAAAGTAAGCGTATATGTGCTTAGACTGTGTCCCGTGCGTTCGCGCATGCCTTAGTACTCTTCTCTTCGATTTCTTTCTCTTTGCTCTTGGCATAAACGCTGTCAAAACGCTGACAAAATCGCAACAACCAATCAGCAAAGGCTTCAACGACTGACCAATGAAAACGCGACATCGTATATGGAATCTTATTGGTTGATATTGAACCGTTTTTTTTTTTCTGATCTGGAAGATGGAATCATTTGGCTGTAAAATCGAAAGGTATGACTTTTTTTTTTTTAACTTGACTATACAATTGTACATTTATTACCGCAGTTAATAATATTTTTCTTCTTACATAGCCTTGAAGATGTTCTCAAAAGCATCAGTGTGGCCGTAATTACAGAAGGGCTTAGATTTGGCATCACCTCTCATCCATTCACTGAACAGGGTAGACGTAGCTAGAGTGAGTGACGGCAGGGAGAAAGCAAAAAGTTGGGGTCTGAAAAGTCACTAAAAAAAGCGACTCATTTGCGCAATTCTTTTGCAGTATGTACAGTATGCAGAGGAGTGAACATCTCCTGCTCTGGCTACAGCTGGGAGGGGCTGCTGCGCGAGGACTGGGCCGCCTCTTAATGATTTGAGACAGGGGTGGGACCCACGGCAGCACCCGCTACCCGTTGAGAAGAGTAAGAACGATATGTGCTTCAGAGTCTCCAAAAGTCTCCAATAACACCAGAAAAGTCGTTAGAATTGTCGCTTTTTTGAAAATGTGTTGCTAGAGGGGTCTGAAAACTCGATAAATATAGCGTCAAAGTCGCTAAGTTGGCAACACTGGGGGTGGGGTGGGCCAAATAATTTCATAAAAGCGAGACCCGTGGGTTGGGAAAAAAAAATAGACCCGCGCATCACTAGAGCTCAAACACCAAATTGATTCTTCTTCTGCACTTACTTGTGCTTGAACGGAGATACACACGCAAAAAAATGATGTCAAAATACCCATCTCAGCAATTATTTTCTCTTTATGTTATAAGTGAACAGTTGAGAAAGAAACCGGATGTGTGTCAGTATATTCGGCCCATGCATTCAGTCGTGAGAGCAGCCATATATTCCTGCAGTTGTCTGTGTCATTAGTGTTAATAAAATAAAATAAAACATCTTCATCATCATTATCTACCATGTTTGAGAGAAAAGAAGATAGTGAGGAGAGCAGTCAGGAGGAAAGTGATGATGACAGCTTGTAGGATAAATCTGGCGCATAAAGTGTCTCCAGATGCTCCCTTGAGAACCAGACCAAAAAAAGTTGCAACTAACCCCTGACGTCTCCCTCGAATTGTTGTTTTTATTTCCAGAGTGGATAGAATCATTTAGCTCACCTAAAATGGCAATAACCTCATCATCCTGAATAACCTCCAGCGATCCAGACACCACGAAGCAAAGAGTGTCCACGCTCTCCCCTGCGTGGAAGATGAGATCTCCTGGAGCGCAGTGTGTGGTCTGGAACTCTACCGCCAAAGAGCGCAGACAGCCGTCACTGGCCAGCCGGAAGGCAGGGTGCTCATTGAAAACCTGGCGGTTCAGGTGCACACAGATGTCTGCACGCATGTCCTTAGGACAGATGGACAGAACCTAACGAGTAAAGCAAGGAAACCTTGTCTTAATGACCCATACTCTCAAACTTATGTGCACAGTTCAATGAAATTCTTCTTGTTAAAGTAGCTGAGATTATTTTTTCTATTTTTGACCTCTGCATACATACTAATGATGCTACAAACATAAGGAAAAAGTCAAATAAATCAGGAATAATGTACAATACCAATCCTTCTGAATGATACCAGAGCACTTCACTTCATATTTGGGTACTGATTACCCTCTCAGGGTTTATTCTACATTAATGAACCGCTGACTACACATTATCCCACTTATTACATGGCTATATAATATATAAAATATTATAAAAAATAAAATAAAAGATAAAATATAAAAAGTAAAATAATTATATAAAATAAAGTTTATAAAAAATAATGAAAAGAAATGAATAAATGCTAATTTAAAATAAAAAATGGAATGTGGAATAAGTTATTAAAATAATAGGCTGCAGCACAGAATTGCATTGGTAAGCAGAGAGTTTACCAATTAAAACTGACTCAGCCTGTTACTGAGTGAAGATCATAGTTTTGTGTGTGTGTGTGTGTGTGTGTGTTTGTGTGTGCGGATGGTGGGGGGTTATGTGGGGGTGGGGTATTGATTGCAATAAAATACCAAATACAAACAATCATTAGTGATGTTAAGTGTCTAATTTAGATTTTGGCAATAGCAAAATCACAAAATTTGACATCATATCAAATAGGGGTCAACAGAGAATATTAAGACAAATGCATCTTATTATCTGTAAATTTATATATCTAACTATTTGTCTTCATACATTCCATATAACGTATATATTTGAGTGGATTACACAGTCACTCTAAAATAACTGACAGGACCAATAATGTGGATTCATTACATTTTCTTTTTTTTTTCCATCTAAGATTGAGACATTGCAGCAGTGAGGATCATTTAAAAAATATTATTTGAATGCACTGACCAGAAATTATGTGTGTGTAGGTATGAATGTACAGTGTGTGTGTGTGTGTGTGTGGGGGGGGGGGGGGGTTAAAGCATTAATATTACATTAAGTGCCCATAAAAAATTTGCCATGTACTGAACGCTTCATAAGCTAATGTTTCCATAATGGGCAGAAGCACATGTATGCAGGTTCAGTGCATGTAAAATATTAAAATATGAATGTAATTAAAACTTTGCAGAAACCAATTATACTTTGTGCCTCAGTCACCTGTTCAGGATCTTTCTGGTCAAGTATATTCAAAAAATAATCGTATTTTAACGGTAAAAGACCTTGTGTAAAGGTTGTATAAAAATGCTACGCTGTAAAACTGATAATTGGTTAACAGAAAGTTTCCATACTACTGTATATACGGTAAATAACTGTGATAGATCTCATGGTACGTTCAAATTTGCCCATTGTCATACGTCAATAAATGGAGAGGATTTCTCACCCCACGCTGCATGAAAACCAGTTAGGAGAATCTTTTATAAGTCTAAATTTGAACCAGGGGTTGAATAGATCTGCCATATTCCCTGAGGGTTGATGTCTCCTGGGATATAATGCAATTTCCCATTCCTCTTTAGGAAGGAATAAAAAAAGAGGGTTCAAAAAATGGACAAGATTCGGTTCTTCTTTTTTCCAACTTTTCTGACAGAATGATAGCATCCATCGGAAAAAAAGAACAAATTATTTCTTTTTAGTTTAGCATTTGGGATATCTTGATTTCGGGCCCATCATTAAATTAAATTCAGAAACAAATGATATGAGATCTGCCCTTGAGCCATTATTTATGTTACCACTATAATGAACAAGGAAAGAGTAATTAAACAATGCCTTTCATTTTAAAAACTCAATCCTTAGCCCACTGAACTAAATAAATAAAAAGTAGGGATGCACGATATATCGGCCACCATATCGGTATCGGCCGATATATGTTCATTTTTAATGTTCTCGTTATCGCCTGGTAAGAAAATGTGGCCGTTATATTAAAGTCGATAAATAATGTATTATTCCCTTCAGCTGAGACACTTGTTGAGCACTGTTTATGTTTTTGAATTTCTTGAAATATGATTGAAATCTCTTCAAAAAAATGAAAATACAGTTCGGTACAACATGTGCAGTGCAAATCTGTCATATCGGCATATATAACACTATAATGAGAGCATCATTATAATCGTGCGCTTGTTTTTGTAATCAGGCTCTCAAAATTATACAAAAATTTGGATTTAAATTTATCGACCGATATATCGGTTATCGGCTTTCAAATGTAAAGAATTATCGGTTGTCGGCCAAAATTTTCATATCGGTGCATCCCTATTAAAAAGTGTTGGTTTTCTTAAAATGTGTCTTTCCTAGTCAACAAGAAATAGTGGAATCAGCCATGATTGCCCATGTCTGAGGAATTCATAACTTTAAAAAAAGGCCCCCCAATTAAAGACAATATATTTTTATGATGAAATTTTTAGTGTGGGGTGAAAATGCCCTTCTAACTTTTATATTTACATTATTTTCAATCAAAACTAAAATATTCAAAGTTTCCGTTTCTTTTTCCGCAAATCATATTTCTCCATCAATATTCAATACAAATAAATAAGTGGAAATTTACTATAGGCTATTCTACACGTTGTACCCTACATTTAGATCTCTGCACAGAGGTTGTGTTAAGTGCATCAGAAAAAGGAACAGGTTTACTCACCTTCTCTGTGTCTATGCCTTTGGTCATGGCCCATGTGGACACAATGTAGTCCATAACTCTCTCACTCAGTCCTTTAGGCACCTGATAGAGCTTCAGGAAATCTCTCACATTGTTCAGCATCTCATGGTAGCGATTGGTGTTCGTGTACATCTGCTGAAAGATGGTGGTCACGTTTCCAAAGATAGTGGCGTACAGGAGAGCTGCAAATCAGAGAGGGGAGAGCATAAACTACAGAGAACTTTAGAAAGCTGCTATATATAAAAATCAAAAACTAGACTGAAGTGAGAGTATCTAAAAGTGAAGAGAAACGGGGGTGGTGAATCACTGGTCGAGGAGAGCTTCATGACGATACTTGTGGGTGAAATAGAGATTAGATGCAATTTGTATTAAATCCCAGTAATGTACCTTATGTCAGGGATTTAATACTGTATGTTTCAGTGTTTTTTTAAGTTCAGTGACTGTTTGCCTGTGTGACCCAGTTTCCTAGCATGTGCCAGTTTTTCCCTTGACTGTATATCCACCTAGCCTATTAATTAGCTCTGTTTATATAGTTCAGTGTCATCAATGTTAAGCTGTGTTTTGTCTGTTTCCTTGAGTTATCCTGTGATATATTTGGATTAAATACTATTTTGTTTGAATCTAAGTCTTTGTGTGGTTCCTGGTAGAATCACAATTTCTATTAGCAAAGTAAAACCTGCAGCACTGTTAAAACATGATTCTGACTGATAGCTGAAATCACACAATTCAATAATTAACTGTAGGTATGCAGTGCACATATTTTTGGATGAAAGCAAATGCAAATATTTGCAAATATTTTAGAATAGATGTGCTTTTACAAACTAATGATATGATTTAAATCCAACTTAAACCACACACACAAACAGTCTGACATTTCAATTTATTATAATAATACAATGAAATATTGAAATAAAAATAAAATGTATGATATATATATATATATATATATATATATTCAGACAATAAAAAGTAAAAAAAATAAACTAAATATCAAGTAAAATGTCTATTTAAATACAGAAATAACATGAAATCATCTTTGACATTTGACATATTTAGTAGCCAATAATGAATCTGATGACAAGACAGAAATCTCTTCTAAGCAACAGCCATGTAGTTCTTTAGTCTGCTAATATATACACTCTCAGAAAAAAAGGTACGAAAGCTGTCACTGGGGCGGTACCTTTTCAAAAGGTACACTTTTGTACCTAAAGGGTGCATATTGGTACCTTCATGGTACACTTTTGTACCTAAAGGATGCATATTGGTACCTTCATGGTACATATTTGTACAATTATGGTACCAATATGCACCCTTTAGGTACAAAAGTGTACCTTTTTGAAAAGGTACCGCCCCAGTGACAGCTTTCGTACCTTTTTTTCTGACAGTGTATTTGCAAGCAGACATTGGCAATATCCACCTAATCCTATCCCAATTTACACCCGAGCGTTTCCATGGAAACGCAGACCAAAATAGTTTCTGAAATCTATTGTTATTTTGTTACCAGTATGTTCTCAGAGGGTGGACAGGAAAAAGGCTTAGACTGAAAGGATGATCAGCATCGACAGAGAGGTAAGATTCCAGTGAAAACCGAGAGGTGTGGGTAATGCACTTTAAATCACATCCGTGACTGACAAGATCCCAGTCATTCAGAGAACAGAGCAGGGTGCACCAGTCATCCTTGCATTCACTCTCTTTTGACACGCATGCCAAAGACCAGCGGGAGCTCTATCAACATTAATGGTCTATGCAAACCAAAGCATTAATTAACTGCCCATGTGAGTGAACGCAGGCTGAGTGATGATAATAGTATTTGCACTCTAATGCAGCAATTCATTTCTAGCCAAGATACCAGTGATACAGATCAATTTCGAGCCAATGATTCATTCATGTGTCAGTTGTCTGCCTGTTTTTACTAGTGCAATCAATATAAATGAGCACAATAAAGAGTCATCAACAGCGACATATAAGCATGCCTTGTAGTCTAGAAATATGCGCGTAAGACGAATACGTACCAACCCACATGAGAACACACACCTGAATAATATTCAACCAGACAAAGACGGTGTCATTTATACAAACAGGCAATTGCAGTACAATAAGTTCAGTTTTACATAATGTAAATATGTGTTTGAATAGTAATTAAGCAGGGATTAGTCAGAGTTACAGATAATTGATAGAGTTGGGGGTTTTTTTCAGCTGTGTTTACTGTTATTATAAAGGTCATGCAAGAATGGGAAGAACAAGAAGAAAATTAGCTAATTAAATAGGAAACATCACTGCATTGCACAGACTATGCGAAAATAGACAATTTAGAGCTATAACAAAAGAAAAAAAGGAGAGAGAAATGAATGTTTGATACTGTAAGGTCCACCCATTGGCCCAAGGACGGAATCCAATGGCTGGGCGAAGGGATAATGCGTGTATGTCTTTTCAGCGCTCCAGTTGAGTTCACTTAATTTATTAGAATTTAGTTTCAATATTGCTTTAGCTCTACGCTTAATCTGACTCCAATTTTTACTGATGATCAAGTTTAGATTGTGTTTCTTATTAGAAAACTATTGATTATAATTTAATTTAGATCTTTGATATGTCTGTGTTTCTTACACTTTCAATTATTCGTTCATTATGGACCCGATGCCGCACAGAGATCACGGTGGCCAGATCGTGTTTCTCACGGACACAAACCTTGTCAGTTCTGTATTTAGTCAGAGGGTGCAGGGTTAACTAATACTTCTTAAGTCGGTTGCCTACTGCTCACACGTACAAAGAATGTAGTTTATTTTAGCAACTTCCATACAACTTGCTAAATCAGTGATAGACAGAAATCAAAAGGTCTTCAGAGGACGTGCCTACTGCTCCATTCACATCTGTGCCTTTAGTTTGACCTATCCTGCAAGATTTGCGGTAGCACCAGCCTCCTATAATTTACTAAAATAATGACGTCAGAATACTCCAGAGTAAATCAAGATGTAACATTTATTTGTCAGGAAAAAATGTATCATGCCAATTCAGAAATAGTAAATACATGACATCAATCACTCAAAGATGATTCTAAAAGTAAGCAATGCATTCCTGACAGAGACACACAGTAGTGTGTGAGTGCTTTCCACCGGGAAAACACTGACACAGCACTGTATGGGGGTTTTCCTGGTTACAGGTTCCCGAAGACTGCTCTGTTACCTAGCCTTAAATACCCAGACCAGAACAAAAGGGTTGTACCAATATCTTTCAGAGTTTGTTTTGGGTCCATTCCTATACCCCAGGGGGTAACACCTGGTCTCGGGGGAGAGGGGAGATATCTTGAAAAGAAATCACCCTTGGAGGAGAACTGGATTCTCCTAAGTTCTCAATCTTTCTCCTATTTCCAATAACTGTAATGAAATTAAGACCATTTTACCAATCGCACTGAGACACTTAAAATGATACCAAACATGAAAAGGGAAAACCTTAGATTCACAAGCAAAAGAACAATAAACACCTATCACCCAAATCTTTATTGGGGCATCTCCCACAACAGAAGAACAGGCGTTGTTTTCTTGTTCTGCCTGTTCTGCTGCTGCAGGAATGAAACAATTTTACCACTCGCGGCGGAAGTATTTATTTTGCCCTTGCATAACACAGCTGGGGGCAGGAGGTTTGTGAGATTTGAATGCCTGAATGAGCCCTGGAGGAGAGAAGATATTGTGCAGAGTCAAGAACCACAACATGGGGGGAAGATATCGGGTTGGGCCAGTTGTGTGGTGCCCTCAGTCCCTTTGATCTCTTTTACAGATTAGTAAGTTTTTATTGTTTTACTGCAGTTTCGAATTCCTAAATTCAGTCTTAGGAAAGTCCTTCCTTACAGTTTCGACCCCTGGCCCCTTGGGGCAGATTCAGATCAGTTCCTGAGGGGCCACAATTTTATTAAGTCCACTTCTGGTTACAGTTTCCGTAGTGCAGGTACCTTTAAAGGGCTGAGCGCGATGGCCACGTTCGTCGACGTGCGCATTGTGCGGATTAGGCACCTGAAGTAGCAGCACCGGCAGAGTGTGACGAAGAAGATTATTCCACTGGCGAGGACGCATCCACGGAACGTCCAGTTCCACCAGGTGTACGCATACCTCGCTGACCGGGTCGAGGATCTGGACAGGTTTTCTGCAGTCTTTCTCGCCAGATTTGCTTCCACTTGAGCTTGGTTCAGATGATACTCGGTCTGTAAGATGATTTCTTGCACCAAGTCCATTGTATTGACCAGAGCTTGAGTACTTTGTTCATAGAAGGTGTCCTCTCACCAGGGAGAAACATCAGTGTCCATTGGAACCCTTCCCAGGATGTTTATCTGTGCCATTGAAAAGTCCTCTTTTACTTCCAAACAGCGCAGGGCAGGTCAGACCTCCATAGGAGAAGGAGTTCATCTCACTGACGATGCACCACTGTGTGTGAGACACTTGAACAGCATCAGAATGACCCTGCAATAATTCAACAATGATGCATTTGTAGTTCTTGTCAAATTGGGGAAAAGGTTGTTAAACACAAGAACACAAAAGCAAGACATGATGCAGTCATGTCAAAAGTGCGAGTGGTAAATAAGGTCTCTTTCAGAATCATATATTTAGTGGCCAGGTCTCATTTAATCACCAAATTCTTCACCACCACAGTGATGTGGTTGTGGAATTTAGATTGGGTCTGGATAAGGAAGTGTATCAGAACGTCAACATAACTAGTATATTTACCAGCGGTATGCATAATTAAAATAAATCAAATAATTAATCATGGAACTACACAATTTCATAATTATAAAATTGTCTGCATTAGTTGTTTAAGTGCAAATCATCAATTGAACCTTAAGGTTTTAATATGTTCAGTTAGAGAATGAAATGTACCGGAACAGAGATTTGAACTCTCTAGTTTAACCTTTAAAATCATCCTCTGTGCATTTGATGTACAGGCTAAGTCACACTCAATAGTGCAGGTCTGGCTGGGAATTGTATAGTTGACCAATAGAAATGCCTGCATTTTAGATATGTTTTTATATTTTTTATTGTCATTAGTCATTTGTTGGAAACTAGGGGGCCCTCCTGGTTTGCAACAACTCTAACGACTGGATCATCAACATTTTGTCCAAAGACCAGTTGCATTGATGAACAGGTCTCACTTAGATTTTAAATGTGGAATTTAAAGCAATTGATGTGTGACCATAGCCATGCACATGTTCTTAGCACATCACAGCGTTTACATACAGGAAGTTGACAAGACTGTACTGCTGTAAAAATGTTTAGAAAGAAATTATTCAAATAATTTCCCTTGTCCTATATGTATGAAGGTGAATGATGTATTGTTTGCATTATGTGAATAATTTTGACCTGAATAGTCCTATGATCTATGCCAGGTAGAGATGTTCTAAGGTTGTCATAGTCATGGGGTGTATTGTGTATGTTTATGCATAGGAGATGGGTGTTGTCTATATCATTATAATCTGTGTTGCATAATTTAGTTCCGGTGCTACACCGGGAGGCCACATAGAGTATAGCTACTTCCGTAGTGTTATAAGGTGTGAGCAGCCCCTTGAAGTTTCTCCACCCATCTCCTACATGTCAAGTTGTGTGTCCTGCTTGATGCAGGCAGGACCAGACCCTTGTGGAATCTGGTTCTGAAGAAAGTCAGTTGTCAGCCTGTAAGGGAATAGACCTAGAGAGAACATCACAGTTTAATCTTGAGCCTTTACACAAACTGCAGTCAAATAGATGGTACCATCTCAATATTTCTTTGATGGCCTAAGCCAGAAGGTTGTTACTGATGGCTTTGATCTGTTAAGATTTTATTCCATTAGAAGAAATTTTGTTTTAGTTTACAACAACATGTATCATGATCATGATCATGTTTCTGCAAAGAAAAGGCCAATTAAACTGAGTGTTAATGGTCAGATCTTACTGCTATTGCAGTTAAACTCACACAGTCTGCTGTGTTGTGAGCAGTAGGACACCCATATCTGCTGGGGAAATCTCTTCACATGCTGCTGTTTATTTACACTAGCCAGATCTGTGTTCAGAGCAATTAGATCACCAGGTGTGGTGCTGTGCTCGTTTGTTTGGCATTTAGAATTTATGGTGCCATTCAAACTCTTGACCATTTAGATCTCTGAGGTCCATAAGGACAGTAGATGACTGATGATTACATTTCACACAACTTTCCTTACATGTCCAGTAACATATATTCCCTGATCAGATCCCATGTGAGCTGATGTTCCCAGAGAGGAATTTAACACTTGCACCACTTTGTTTGTGGTTTTGTTGCAAGAGAACATTAAAACTTGTATCTCCCCTTGTTACTGGGTTAAAGATCTATTAGATCAAAATGATATTATCCTGTGGCTTTGGATGGACTTTCAAGACATGTCAATCAAGTTGATCATTTTAGTTGGTACATACTGGACATTGTAATTTTCCTCATTAAAGATTCTTGCACAAAAAAAAGGTTAAGAAGTTCTTTCTCACTATTTTTTTCTTTTCAGTTTTCTTTCTTAACAATCCTTTCTCTAACCATCCATTGTCTCCTTCTTCACCCCATTTCAACACTAGTAGTGTTCCTGCCATCTTACTCCCTACATGCACATTCCCTCTTCCTACATTCTGATTCTTTTCATTCTTCTTCAACATCCTTTCTTCTTCTAAACCAATGCTGAATCATCAAGAGATTAAAGCCATTCCTGGACATTAGTATAACATATATTATATCTGGTCATAATATAATTTATATTCTAGAAAATTGTATAAATCAAAACTAATTTTATTTGCTGGTGTCTGGGGTCTCTTCTGAGTAAATGTCCATACTGACTTGTTATCTTCTCCCTGATCTTTTAGAAGGCATTTGGCCCTGCAGCTCCAGTTGTGCTGCCATGAGCATTGTGTGCACAGCAACAAACTAAGCTGGAAAGCTATAGCTGATACGGTAAACATTCAATGCACTGCAAGCACTGAGAGAACCATGGGTCAAATCATTGCTCACTTTAAAAATTTCTGTGCATACAATATAGAATTGGACACAATTATTATCTTGTTTTAGGCCGAGATTTTATCAATTGCATTCTATTAAGAATCCATTTGAATATGAAAAAATGGTTGGACAAAGGGGTCTGATTGAGGGTGCCATTGTTTTTGGCTTGTTACTTTTGTCAGTGTCTTTTGAGACCTCTGAAAACATACAAGAGCACAGCGATTGCAAAGTATGATTTAATATCAAATTAAAAGCTATGTTTTATAAGACTGTGCCTTAAATGGTGTTGTTTAAACCATATTTTGGGACATCAGTCATGCATTTTTTAGCATTCTTGTAAGATTTTCAAAAAATAACGATTAATTTGATGTAATTCATTCTTTGTCTAACTTCCCTCATGGGACAAGAACCAGCTGTGCATGGGTGAAACGATCAGGCCTGGCTACAAGCCTTTTAGTGACACACTAATCATTATATGTATTAGTTTTAACAGTTTGCATATTCTTTTGAATTTCAGTCACTAGGACTTCTGTATGGCAGCTGTTCTCTAGGACTGAGAGGTCATTTTCCCAGATCATTTCTTTTGAAATATTCAAATTTCATTGCACTGTTTAGTCCAACTTTTCATTTTGCACACAAATGATTCAAGTGAGATATTTTTACTTGTTACATTTTAGATCATCAAATCACAAGACCTTTTCACAAGTCAGCATGATCATTTTCTTACTTCAATGTTGCAATCTTGTTGCAGCACACAAATTAATCAAATTACATATTTACCCTCAGATTTTTAAGTTTTTAGTTTACATCCCTCTGTTGAGTACCAGGATAAAATTTGAATGAAATTATTCCAATTTTGGTTTCATCTCTTGTTGCGTGGGCAAACAAGGGTTATTTAAAGTTAAAGCAAGGGATATCATTTCTCATCTACGCTGCTGCTATCATGTCCCTAGCATGTGGTTTCATTAATTCTCAAGCCCCACCGGATTTTGCGTTCTCCGGTCTAACTGGGTATGCCGACCCATTCTACAAATGTGTCTATATGAGGTGCGTCTGCATGTTCCCTCAACACTTCTAAAAGGCAAAAAGAATTGACTTACCACAACAGCTGGAGAAAGAGAAGGAGATCAAACCTCTTACTAGTTGCAAGTTCCAATATTTTGCTGAAAAGACACTCGCAATCTGGAGATCACGGAGGGTGTCACCACTTTGTAAGGTCCACCCATTGGCCCAAGGACGGAATCCAATGGCTGGGCGAAGGGATAATGCGTGTATGTCTTTTCAGCGCTCCAGTTGAGTTCACTTAATTTATTAGAATTTAGTTTCAATATTGCTTTAGCTCTACGCTTAATCTGACTCCAATTTTTACTGATGATCAAGTTTAGATTGTGTTTCTTATTAGAAAACTATTGATTATAATTTAATTTAGATCTTTGATATGTCTGTGTTTCTTACACTTTCAATTATTCGTTCATTATGGACCCGATGCCGCACAGAGATCACGGTGGCCAGATCGTGTTTCTCACGGACACAAACCTTGTCAGTTCTGTATTTAGTCAGAGGGTGCAGGGTTAACTAATACTTCTTAAGTCGGTTGCCTACTGCTCACACGTACAAAGAATGTAGTTTATTTTAGCAACTTCCATACAACTTGCTAAATCAGTGATAGACAGAAATCAAAAGGTCTTCAGAGGACGTGCCTACTGCTCCATTCACATCTGTGCCTTTAGTTTGACCTATCCTGCAAGATTTGCGGTAGCACCAGCCTCCTATAATTTACTAAAATAATGACGTCAGAATACTCCAGAGTAAATCAAGATGTAACATTTATTTGTCAGGAAAAAATGTATCATGCCAATTCAGAAATAGTAAATACATGACATCAATCACTCAAAGATGATTCTAAAAGTAAGCAATGCATTCCTGACAGAGACACACAGTAGTGTGTGAGTGCTTTCCACCGGGAAAACACTGACACAGCACTGTATGGGGGTTTTCCTGGTTACAGGTTCCCGAAGACTGCTCTGTTACCTAGCCTTAAATACCCAGACCAGAACAAAAGGGTTGTACCAATATCTTTCAGAGTTTGTTTTGGGTCCATTCCTATACCCCAGGGGGTAACACCTGGTCTCGGGGGAGAGGGGAGATATCTTGAAAAGAAATCACCCTTGGAGGAGAACTGGATTCTCCTAAGTTCTCAATCTTTCTCCTATTTCCAATAACTGTAATGAAATTAAGACCATTTTACCA